CAGATAACTAAACAAACCATAATTCAAATAAAGAAAATAATTAACCAAATAAGGAAAAACAAATACACAAGTAACTATTTACAAATAATCAAATAAAACAAACAAAATACAACAATTACAAAATCAATAGACAAAAATGCACATAGAATGAAATTTAAATCCCAATTTTATCCTTTTTAATTTTAGGGGTATTACAACCACCGTGTTGATGCATCAATTAAGATCATAAAATACCGAAATGGTCCACACGCTGGATGAATTGGTCCACATATATCTCCTTGAATTCATTGTAAAAATGGTGGGCATTCAACGACTACCTTGGAAGGTGATGGTTTGATTATTAATTTACCTTGTGAACAAGCGGTTCAAGGATAATCATTTGCTAAAAGAATCTTCTGGTTCTTTAGTGGATGGCCATGTGAATTTTCAATGATTCGGCGCATCATTGTTGACCTAGGATGACTAAGGCGATCATGCCAAAGTATAAAAAAATTTGGGTCAGAGCACTTCTGGTGCGTCACTGCATGTGACTCAATTACCCGTATATTTGTATAATATAATCCAGAAGATAAAGCAGGGAGGTTTTCTAATACATGCTTATGGCATGTAATACAGAGATATTCAACGCTCCCTTCATTTATAGTCTCAATATGATAACCGTTGAGATGTATATCTTTAAAACTTAATAAATTTCTTTTGGATTTGGTAGAGTATAAAGCATTATCAATATTCAATTGTGTTCCACATGGTAACACAATGATAGCTCTTCCGGAGCCTTCAATTAGGTTTGCTGGACCTGATATTGTATTAATACTAGCTTCAACTAATGTTGCTTTAGTCAGATCCATGCTTTTTCATACACACAAAATATATGTTTCATTACTTCAAACTTTACATGCAAGATAGCCAAAATAAAAACATACTACTACAACCTAGATAGAGATATATTGATACAAATAAGATAAAACAGATAAGGGATAACATGTTAGAGAAAGACACATTAATTGGTATGGACATTTCCATTACCAATCAAATGATCAATACTATCACTAGTATCAGCAAAGAAGTCAGAAACATCAAAGTGAGTAATATCAGTTAGTAAGTCATCATCCACAAAATTCATTTCAATTTCTTTTCCTTTTCCCTTATCATTCATTGAGACACGGTAAAGATCAGCTAGATGTTTGGGCGTACGACAGGTACGTGACTAATGACCTTTCATTCCATACCTATAGCAAGGCTTGTCATCATATATCTCAGGAGTTTTGTTCTGCAAAGCTTTTCATTTTGCTTGCTTGGTCACATTTGAATTCCACTTCTGGTGGGATAGTGTGGAGTTCCTTCTAGGAACCAATGAAGAATTATGACCGCCACGATTATTATAATTATTTCTATTACGACCATATCCACGATCACCACAACATCCACGAACACCACGACGTCCGCGTCCACGTCCACGTCAATGGCCGTGAAATGATGACACATTCGCTTCTGGAAATAGTACAGATTTAGTGGGACGGAACTGGTGGTTTTGCATCAAAAGCTCATTATTCTGTTCAGCCACCAACAAACAAGAAATCAACTCAGAATATTTGGTAAATTTGCTCTCTCTATATTGCTGCTGTAGGAGCACATTTAAGGCATGAAATGTGGAGTATGTTTTTTCCAACATATCATCATCAGTAATTTTTTTTCCACATAATGTCAATTGTGAGCTGATTTTAAACAAGGCTGAATTGTACTCACTTATACTTTTAAAATCCTGCAAGCGCAGATGGATCCAGTCATAGCGAGCTTTTGGAAGGATCACAGTTTTCTGATGCTCATATCATTCTTTCAAATTTTTCCACAGTGTAAGTGGATCTTTAACCGTGAGGTACTCTATTTTTAATTCCTCATGGAGGTGATGGCGAAGAAAGAACATGGTTTTTACGCAGTCCTGCAGGGACGCATTATTTTCTTCCTTAATTGTTTCTCTGAGATTCATGGCATCCAAGTGGATCTCGACATCAAGAATCCATGACAAGTAGTTTTTGCCCAAGATATCAAGTGCCACAAATTCAAGCTTGGTAAGATTTGACATTATGAAGGAACTATAAATGATAAAATAACGTAGTTAGAATTATTTCAGAAAAAGAATAATCAATTTGAGATTATAAAAATACTGCAGTAACTATAATATGATTTGTCCGTAAATATACTATATAATGTTAAAAAGTTAATCATGTGCTTTCAGTAAACAAAACAATAGTAAAAAGACAAAATATGTTTACACTAAAAGGCACATATAATTTATATTTTTACGTTTTGCAAAACTTCAGGTTTTTAAGGGTACTCAGTGTAAATGACTTCAGGTCAAAGAATTTCAGATTCAGTTGGACTTCAGGCCAATAAATTTTGCGAAACTTCAGATTTGCAAAGAGTACCAAATATTTGTGAAACTTCAGACTCACAAAGAGTATATTAATATATGCAAAACTTCGAATTTGTAAATTAAATAATTTAGTATTTGCGAGACTTCGGGCTCAGCAATATACTTTTCAAGAATGGACAAAAATATTCTAATATAAATAAATAGTTGCAAAACTGCAGGCTTAATAATTTTAAATATATGTAAAATTTGAACTACAACAGTTTAATATAAATAATTATTTTTCTTACTCTTTGAAGTGAGAAAGAAAAATAAAATTTTCTTCTCAGTTGACAGAGTCTCGTGCTAATAACGTGTAATGAATATATATATATTTATATAGTGTAATATTTATGAAAGAAACTTTCACACACGCACACGGATAGAGAGAGAACGAGAGAGAGAACTGCTTTGTATTTTCCACACCAACATTACATACACATAATGCCTATTTATAGGCACATAATTCGTGGGCAGCAAGCAGATTCCCATACAAGCTTGCTGCCATTTCCAATGTGTCTTAATTTTCCACATATGTGGACCCCACACAAGACAACATATACATAACAAAATAATGGCACCATGAAATGTTCAGTGAATAATTTACAAATAGAGCCCATGACAAATGAAGTGATAGTTGCATAAAACAACTAGCTCGTTTGAGTAAGCAAAGGTTTCACTTCATGAAAAATATTTTGCTGAAAAGAAATGATCAAATGAACCAAATGCTGAAAAATTAACAATTAAAAAACATTCTATCCACTTTTAAGCAACCAAATGCCAAAAAAATTGAAAAATATTTTTGGTTTTGTAATATGGATTAGGTACACTTCTAAGTCACATTGACTGGAAGCATGGACACAATGATGGACCCATATAATTGTACTAGGAGGGACAACTTTAAACAACAATAATATATAGTAGAGTATTATTAAAAATTAACTGGGGGCATTTTAAAGATTTTTATAAAGAAGTAGGTTTGTGCTTGTATAGTTGGGTGCAAGAGTGAGAGTGGAAGATTGAAAGTGACAAAATATAAGTGACTCAAAGTGGGAATGAGAATGAAAACCACCGAGCTTAGAATAATTGTGTAACTTAGGTCCATTTTTATTAAGTATATATCCACTGGGGATGGCAATGGGGCAGAGTTGGGGTGGGATTGGGCCTTACTCCAGGACGAATTTGTAATTGGTATACCATCCCACTCTTATTCCAAAAAATACCGACTCTACTTCGTGTACTCTATTTAATTGCGGTGCAGGATATGCCACTTTTATTATTTAGTATATATATATATATATATATATAAACTAGCTCATTTTGCTCAATTTTAGCTAATGCTTTTGTTTCGTGTTTTTTTGCTTTTGATAGTGTACTGTAGCGAAACAAAAGTACAAAGTATGTTTGGTAATGTTTGCTATCATTTAAATAGTACCGAAGCGCTTACAAAATTGAGGCCAAAATTGAAAGCATCAAAATAATACTTTTGTTTGCTTTCGCACTGTTAAAATTAATTTTTTTATTTATTTTTTTCCTGAATGAAGGAGTATATTGAAATAAAACAAAATAGTACAAAGATTCAAGTGAAGGCATACCCTCACTAAACAAAAAGTCTTACACAAGGACACTCACACACAAAAAATTCAAACAAAGAGCATTACAAAAATATCTTGAAGATTAATCCCCAAGACATCTAACACCTCTCAAAGAATACACTTAGCTAAATCCTTAACCTCTCTAGCACTCTTATCATGTAATCTATTATTCTTCTCCCACCAAACAAAATATAGAGTAGCTGAAAAACAAACTCTGGCCATTTTCTTATCACCCTTCCTGTAAAACTGATGATTAAATTGATCTGTAATTTCTTCCAAGCCAAATACCCTTTGCAAATTCCATGAACACACCTTTGACATAAAATTCCACACCTTCCATGTATACACACAACCACAGAACAGGTGATCCAAAGATTCAGCCTCTTTATAGCACAAATAATACCTAGAAGCTAATGCAAATCCTCTCTTTTGCAGAAAATCATTTGTTTATTTATTTATTTTTTTCTAAAATAACATTTTTAACTAACCATTTATATTTTCAAGTTTGCAATACTTTTTACCAAACATACTTTTATGTTTTTGCGCTAAAAATCTTGTCTTCTTCGGGTCAAACCAACCGTGGTTGTCAAACGGCCCCTAAACAAGCTTGCTCAGCTTTTAAATTACTTAATAGTAATTATTAATATATTAACTGACATTTCAGTAAGGTAACAAGGATCTTAAAAATTTAAAGTATATATTATATATATAAATTTTAAAGATACATAAATAATCTGAACGAGTTTATTATTAAATTCGCCACCACCCTGAATTAGGTTCGAATTTTTTTTAATTATTTTACCATACACCGATACACGTCCCAAACCTGTTTAAGGAAAGCCAAATCGCCATCGCTATCATCCACAACCATAAATTTGAAGAGATAGTCGTATGCCGTAAAATAAAGTAATGCACGGTACCATTCCGCTGTGAAAAAAAATAGAGTACAATTCTGGTATTACACAAAAAGACACCGGCGTATTTGTAATTTCAGAAAATAATTTCACCCCAACCAAAACCCTAATTTCACCCCTATAAATAGTATAAGAAACCCTAACCATCGTCAACTCGGCAGACGAAAATGTCGAAGCGTGGTTAGTTTGTCTGGTTTACCAGTTCATTTACTTCTAGTTTATTATGGCTTGCATATAATCTGTAATTTTCAATGTTTCGTTTGGTTGCTCAGAACGGAATAGAAAATCTAAAATTTGAATCTCGAGCGCTATAGTAGTACTTGTCTGCTTTAGCATTTCGTTTCTTCTAGTTTGGGGTTTCCATATCATATGTAATTTTCAATATTTCGTTTGGTTGATCGGAAAGAGAGAAAATTTAACTGTTGAATCTTGAGATTGCACGAGCTCAGGACTTGTTATCCTATTTTATCTGTCGTTTTCTGATCAATTTAATTGTAGGACGCGGAGGATCGGCGGGCAACAAGTTTCGCATGTCACTGGGTCTACCGGTGGCGGCGACGGTTAACTGTGCCGATAACACAGGAGCGAAGAACCTCTACATCATATCGGTGAAGGGAATTAAGGGTAGACTCAACCGCTTGCCGTCTGCATGTGTTGGAGATATGGTGATGGCCACAGTGAAGAAAGGGAAGCCGGATCTCCGTAAGAAGGTCATGCCTGCAGTCATTGTTAGGCAGCGGAAGCCGTGGCGCCGAAAGGATGGTGTTTACATGTACTTTGAAGGTCATTATCATACCAATTGCCATTATAGTTGTTTTTTCTTATATTCCTGAGTTTTGTTGGTTTCGTGTTTTAATTATTTGTGTTTTAATTATTCTGATATATGCTCCGAGTTGATGATAACTTGTGTTTTGAGCTTTGGATGGTTGCTTGCTTTAGTGGATAAATTTTGTTTTTGTTGCTTAAATTTAGTTTGACCTGAAATGGGACACTCAGCATACTATGGATTAGCAGCTATATTTGTCCTTGTCAGATATTTTGAGGTTTTTGGGATGCCATAAGACTTTTTTAAAACACTGCATTACCATTTATTATTACCAGTGCTTGATTAACTTGTTTATTTTAAGTATTGAGTTGTTGATAACGATTTGATTTAGAAGGCACTGATGGTTAAGCGTTATCTTGATGTCATATTCTCAATCACCAGTGTTCCGGATCTATGATGATCTGATGCTTACCAAGTCCAGCTACATTAAACTAAATCAGTAACAAAACTGAGCGGGTTTTCTCTGGTCTGAATTTTGCTGTCATGATTGGATACATTTCTTGTATGACTTTCTTTGGTCTGTCTCTCTTTTTTCCTCTCATGGCTTAATGGTCCAAAAAAAAATATGAAAAGTTTTAAGTATAATTTTGCTGGTGATGGTGTTGAGATATTTTTGTTATTAGGTTTTCTCTGCATGTAAGATACGCAGCTAAGTTTAAATTGCTTTGCCTCGTATCACTCAGTAACTTTGTTTGTCACCCCTGTTAAGATTGTGACTTTATTATTTCCTTTTTAGATGCGCCATCTGTTGTGCCTTGAGTATTTCTTTCTTGTAAGAATATGGCTAGACACCTTCTCTGGTTAAATGTTCACTCTCAACTCTTTTGAAAATTTTGAATTGTTTTGGTTTTAGTAGTAAGTTGAAGCAACCTGTGGTATACACGCATCAAATGTCAAGTTTTTTGCTTCACATTTGGAATTCCCTCAAATCATTGTCAGAACTCTTAATATACCTACCAAACCTAGTCTATTTGTTGGCTCTTAACTCGAAACTACTGCCTTGATGTAATCTTACCTTTTCACTAAAAGTTAGGGGATGCGCTGGCTGGTGGTAGTCTTGATGCATGTGTTTCCCACTAATATGTAGGTTATATATGTGTAATGATATGACACTTTCTTAAGCCAGCTAAATCAAACTAATAATCGAATTTTTAATCGCGCGGGATCTCCCGTATTGAATCTCGCTTTTCACGGCTCGATACGTTACCTACTTGAAATGTTCTCTGTGAAGGTTTATATTGCAGTACTTCTATTCTACAGAAAAAGTAAAAGTTTGAGTTCAAGAAATCAAAGAATGCATGCTAAAGAACTGAACTGACTGGCAAACATGCTAGAAACAAAGTAAAATTAGAGACATGGGAAGAAGAAAAAATGCGATGCTAGAAACAAAGGAGGAGAAGAGTAAATACTAAAGAAATTCTGACTTGTCGGCTTATTTATCATTTTTAGTTGTAAAAAGTAAATTAAATAGATATAATCAGCTATTACTCTGACGTATATGCCTCATCCAAAAAGTTGCTAAAAAGTGCACCCTTGCACATGAAGCCTAACCCGATAGGAGGGCTGATTAAGCTATTACGTTTTGAAGATTTTTCAACACCCAGTCTAAAACTTCTTTAAAATGCTGTAGAACTCCATGCTATGTGAATTTGTGCCATTTGTATGCCAGTTTGTTTTTAACATAATTATTACTAATAATAGAAGTCTTTTATTTGGTGCTACTAGTTCCTGTCTTTGTTGTTTTGCTATCTAATGTTATATGTTACTGTTTTACATTGTGGCCTTCTTCAGAAGAGCCATATTTAGATTGTCCATGCTATGTATTGAGCTAATATCACCAGACATCAGTCAGGTATCCTCTATATTTTTGTGGTTGATACAGTTACGAGTCTGGAAAATTGACAGTGTCTCTCGTTACGGATGTCATGATTCTCAAGATTGCATCCGCTACATGTAGGCCCGACATATGATAGACTTTCTTTTATTGCTTAGTGCTTTTTGTGCTACAAGTGAAGCAGCAGGGTTGAATTGAATGTAGTCATTTTTATACATCTAGTAAAATAGGGTTTAGATTATTCTTGAGTCCCCTAGTGAAATTGAAAGTAATTACTAAACCTAACTTAATTGATTGCCACCATTATAAGGTTCTATGCATATACATTGTACACAGTATCTGATGGTGTGCTATTTGTGGATTTTTTATATTTAGTTATAGGCTGTTATCTCTTGCATTGTATAAACCCTAACAAAGTGCATCTCAAAAACTTTTAAACATTGAACTAGTCCAAACCATTGATTCTACAGAAGAGCCATCTTAAGATTGTCCATGCTATGTATTGAGCTAATATCACCAGACCTAAGTCAGGTATCCTCCTTTATATTTTTGTGGTTGATACAGTTACGAGTCTGGAAAATTGAGAGTGTCTCTCGTTACGGATGCAATAATTCTCAAGATTGCATCCGCTACATGTAGGCCCGACATATGATAGACTAGCTTTTATTGCTTAGTTCTTTTTGCGCTTAAGCGGTGGGGTTGAATTGAATGTAGTCATTTCTATACATTTTCTGGGTTGAGATTATTCTTGAGGCACCTTGTGAAATTGAAGGTAATTACTAAACCAAACTTAATTGATTGCCACCTTTAGAAGTTTCTATGCATATACATTGTACACATTATCTTTGTTGGTGTGGTATTGGTGGATTCTTTTATACTTTGTTATTGATTGTTAGCTCTTGCATCGTAGAAACAACAAAGTGCATCTCAAAAATTTTTGAACATTGGACCAGTAAAAACCGCCAAGTCTACGGAAGATCCATCTTTAGATTGTCCATGCTATGGATTGAGCGAATAGCACCAGACATAAGTCAGGTATCCTCCTTTATATTTTTGTGGTTGATACAGTTACAAGTCTGGAAAATTGACAGTGTCTCGCATTACGAATGCAATGATTCTCAAGATTGCATCCGCTACATGTAGGCCCGAAATATGATAGACTAGTTTTTATTGCCTAGTGCTTTTTGTGCTATTAGTGAAGCAGCGGTGTTGAATTGAATGTAGTCATTTTATACGTCTGGTGAAATAGAAGATCCATCTTTAGAACCACCAAGTCTACAGTAGATCCATCTTTAGATTGTCCATGCTATGGATTGAGCAAATAGCACCAGACATAAGTCAGGTATCCTCCTTTATATTTTTGTGGTTGATACAGTTACAAGTCTGGAAAATTGACAGTGTCTCGCATTACGAATGCAATGATTCTCAAGATTGCATCCGCTACATGTAGGCCCGACATATGATAGACTAGTTTTTATTGCCTAGTGCTTTTTGTGCTATAAGTGAAGCAGCGGTGTTGAATTGAATGTAGTCATTTTATACATCTGGTGAAATAGAAGATCCATCTTTAGAACCACCAAGTCTACAGTAGATCCATCTTTAGATTGTCCATGCTATGGATTGCGCAAATAACACCAGACATAAGTCAGGTATCCTCCTTTATATTTTTGTGGTTGATAGAGTTACAAGTCTGGAAAATTGACAGTGTCTCGCATTACGAATGCAATGATTCTCAAGATTGCATCCGCTACATGTAGGCCCGACATATGATAGACTAGTTTTTATTGCCTAGTGCTTTTTGTGCTATAAGTTAAGCAGCGGTGTTGAATTGAATGTAGTCATTTTATACATCTGGTGAAATAGAAGATCCATCTTTAGAACCACCAAGTCTGGAAAATTGACAGTGTCTCTCATTACGGATGCAATGATTCTCAAGATTGCATCCGCTGCATGTAGCCCGACATATGATAGACTAGTTTTTATTGCCTGGTGCTTTTTGTGCTATAAGTGAAGCAGCGGGGTTGAATTGAATGAAGTCATTTTATACATATGGTGAAACAGGGTAGAGATTATTCTCAAGGCACCTTGTGAAAATGAAGTTTATTACTAAACCTAACTTAATTGATCACCTACCTTCAGAAGGTGCTATGTATATACATTGTACATAGTATCTTTGTTGGTATGGTATTTGTGGATTTCTGTGTACTTTGTTATAGGCTTGTAGCTCTTTCATTGTAGAAACTCTAGCAATTGTATCTCAAAAACTTTAAAACATTGGGCTAGTCAAGACCACCGAGTCTGTACAAGATTTGTCTCAATTTGTTGATCATTAGTGTATATTAGAAGTTGTTTTTGGTGTGATTTTTCCAGACGAGCCAATTTATATTTTCCATACTGCTGTAATAAGCTAATATCACCAGACGCAAGTCAGTTATTCTCCTATATATTATATGTTGATACAGTTACGAGTCTGGAAAATTGATAGTCTCTCTCGTTACGGATGTGATGATTCTCAATTTTATATCCGCTACATTTAGGCCCTACATGATAGGCGTTCGGTTAATTTTTTTAAAGGTGGCTCCTATCTTTCTATTTACTTAAATGTTATTCGGGCTGTTGGTGAAGCAGCGATGTGTCCTCTTTCGTATTAAAAGTACTCGTTTTTATGTGCGAGTGAAACAAGCATTGAAATATGTTTGATTACCTTGTGGAATTGAAAGTAAATTATTGAGCTTAATTGATCCACAGTTCCTTTTTTCTCCCAGAAGGTGCTCTGTATATAGACTGTATGCTTGGGGTACTCCTGTTGTTGGACTTCTCTTTTTGTTGTTTTTGTACATTAATAGTTTCGTGTACTGACTAAAGATGCCACTTGTAAACAGAATGATGTTCCCCTTTGTGGTGTTGCTGTGCTGACAATTGCTGCTTCTGTAGCTTTTAAACACTCTTTGGAGTGTGTTTGGAAGAATTGTCATCTCTTGTTGGAAAATTTTGAATCTTTGTTAGAAATGTTCTCAAATTTCGGAATGAAAGTTAACATTTTTGCCCAAAAAAACAAAATTTCAAGCTTGGCTTGCTTAGCAGACAAGCTTGTGGATACTATCTAAGCTTGGCTTGTACATCAAAAACAAATCCAAGCTGAGTTCATAAACAACTGGATTGATTTATTATATCGTGATGACTTGTGATGGAGGGTCTTCTTCAAACCTTTTCTTGCATGTTATTTAGCACCAGGTAGTTTTGTAGCTTGTGCATAACTGATTTTCTGTCCTAGTGAAATGTAGTAATTTTTGTCTAAAGGGCAGCAGCAGATTTCTGATCATTCTGGACCATATTTATCTTTTCACTTTGCATTGTATTTTAAATCGTGTTCTGTTGATTCACAAAATAAAATGATTATTTTCTTTCTTAGGCATTGATTATAGATTTTCCATTGTTCTTAATATGTAAATTGTTGCATTTTATTGCAGATAATGCTGGTGTCATTGTGAATCCAAAGGGGGAAATGAAAGGTATGTTGGAATTCAAACAATTACCATCGCAAGACCCAAGAAAAAGTTTTTGTTGCGTCTTCTCCATCTTTTTTGTCATTTAGGCTCTTTTACGTAGGCTGCATTCCACAAACTTTTCTTTTCATGAATGAGCCTTCAACATTTTATCAAGATCCTTAATTTGTCCTGCTGGACTTTTGTGCAATGTAGTCCTGTAAGTTGGATATACTTTCTTGTAATAAACAAAGTAGGCTCTGTATGGTTCTCTTTTCTTTTCTTTTAATTTTTTTTGGGACAAGATACCGTATGGTTCTTCTATAACACTGAGGAAACCAAATATTCAGTTCACATAGATGCGATATTGTGCTGCAATCCAAAGATTAGAATTCTTTGATTCAAGCAATAGTGCACGTTAATGTGCTGCAGGATTTTTGAATCACTATCAGTTTTTATTTTTTATGTTAAAATTTGACGTGTTCTTTCTTCTTTATTGATATCTCATCTTACTAGTGGTATTGTGGTTTTAGGGTCTGCAATCACGGGTCCAATTGGGAAGGAGTGTGCTGATCTGTGGCCGAGGATTGCCAGCGCAGCCAATGCCATTGTTTAAGAGTTTCAAGTCTCTGATTTTAAATCTCGTGAAGAGTTGAATGGTGCGGTTGTCAATGGTTGTAGCTTTTATTTTGGATTATCAAGCTCTCTTTAATTCTGGTATTTTTCGAGGCTTTTTTTATCTTTTTGAATCAACAGATGCTTTAGAAGTTTGAAAGTATATTGAACAAAGTTTCATTTTTCTCTCTGGCTGGTTATTTTAACAAGAGCTTTGCTACAGATTGAAATTATAGGCAGATTTTAATTTATCAGCCTAAGTTTGCATTAAACCGAGGTCCTATTGACATTCAAAAAGAATAATTTCGTTTTGTAGTCTTCAGATTGGGATTGGTACACTTATATATTTATATATATAGTAATATTAATCTTGATATTTTATTTTTGTTTATTTTTCATTTCCTATTATTGTGGAACTGGCTTGTCTATAATCCTCATCATTTGATCCTCAGTGCATGTACCATTTGTTGGAAACCCAGTAAAAATTGTGTGAATGAGAATGAGATGGTAAAGTTACATTGTGAGAATGAGAGGGATGGTAGTCTTGTTTGTATGAAAAATTCATAGAAAACATTTGAGCTAAATTTGGAGAGTTTTTAGATTGAATTAAATTGTTTTTTAGAAAATATTGGAATTTTTATGAATAGTCTTTGTGGAAAACCATTAATTAGTTATTTCTCTTATTTATTTCTTTTTGGCCCTTGCCTCTTTATTCAGTCGCATTTGTTTCTGTTTGGACTCTAAACTTGTTTCTGTTTGGACTCGAAACAGAAGAAAACGATTCTGTTTTGATAATCGTTATATTTGTTACAAGATTTTTGGAACTAAAAACATGAAATTGTTTAGAAAGAAATTGTTTTAAGTTTGAATAGCAAAACGGTTAGTTAAAAAGGTTATTTAAAATTTTGTTTTTTGGAGTACTGTTTTAGACAGTGTGGACGCAATCAGAAAATACATATAATTTTTTTTATGTTTAGTGCTGTCGGTTTTAGTCTCTGTTTTAAAAACGTTTTGATATTATCCGAATTTTGCTAGTGAAAGGATGATTACTATCCATCAAAAAAAAATCATTAAAAGGTCAGTTACTCCATGTAAAAGGAATTATGTACAGTGACAATTGCACTTGTATGATAAATTTTGTGTTTCGATTCGAATTTTGCTTTGCTACAGTAAATTATATATTTTCCTCAAATCTGATAAATTAGTGGGTTTGCCTCATTAAAATGTCAATTACTATCTACCAAAAAAACAAAAAATAATTAAAAGGTCGGTTATTCCATGTATAAGGAATTATGTACCGTGACAACTGCGCTTGTATGATAAATCTAGTGTTTCGATTCTGAATGATTTTTAGGTTTTAAAATCTAGGTTACTCCATGTAAAAGGAATTATGTACAGTGACAACTGCACTTGTATGATAAATTTTGTGTTTCGATTCGAATTTTGCTTTGCTACAGTAAATTATATATTTTCCTCAAATCTGATAAATTAGTGAGTTTGCCTCATTAAAATGTCAATTACTATCTATCAAAAAAAACAAAAAATCGTTAAAAGGTCGGTTACTCCATGTATAAGGAATTATGTACCGTGACAACTGCGCTTGTATGATAAATCTAGTGTTTCGATTCGAATTTTGCTTTGCTACAGTAAATTATATATTTTCCTTAAATCTGATAAATTAGTGGGTTTGCCTCATTAAAATGTCAATTACTATCTATCAAAAAAAACAAAAAATCGTTAAAAGGTCGGTTACTCCATGTATAAGGAATTATGTACAGTGACAACTGCGCTTGTACGATAAATCTAGTGTTTCGATTCTGAATGATTTTTAGGTTTTAAAATCTAGGTTGACAATTCAAATTGTGAAACAATAGTTATGGTGTTTGTGGTTTGGCGGTGAGGTGTTGTGATAAACCCTACTCATTATTTTCACCTTTTTCTATAAAAAGAAAATGAAAAAATTTATAGTTGACGACATTGTAATACCCGCTAAGATAGATAGAATTGTGGAGGGGCGGACTCCACCCACCATTCTCTTGGTCGTGGCATCTTTCATTCTAGTTGTAATTAGGGCTGCAATTGAATGGGTTAGAAGTATAGATTGAATCCAACCTTACATATTATAAAATGTTTAACCAAGGCCAACCCTAACTACCTTACATATTATAAAATGTTTAACCAAGGCCAACCCTAACTACTCAATTCGAACGCTTTCCATCCTCCTAGTTTTTTAAACTATTCAATGTCCACTTTTCAAGAAAATTAATGGAGGACCGTTGATTGACAAAACACTATCATTTGTATTTGTGTCTGATATTTGATCTTATTGTAAACAATTTGTTCCGACGTGCTTACAACTCACTTTGTTAGCTGGTTGGATCTTTATCTGGTCAGTTCTGTGATCCACATGTATATTATTTAATATTAGACACACAGATATTCATACATATATATATATATATATAAATAAATACATATATGTATACATATGTATGTGTGTGTGTTTGTGATCTATTCATTAGAATGCTGGACAGTCTTTGCAATTGCCAGTTGCCCAAAGGTTATGACTTTTAAGAGCTGACATTTAAAGTGGCTTTAATTCACATAAAAGCTCCAAATTGCACTAATAATCTATTTGTGTCGGTGGAACTAAGACGGATTTTTAAATGTTAAAAGGTTATTTTACAACTCATTTTACTTTGTTCATGTTAGAATCCCACTATCGCACTTGTTTATATGACAATAATATTATCCTAAGATTCGACTCTTTGAGTACAAACAGATATTTGAGGTTAAAATTCAAACTTCACCCGACCTGTATGAAAGGGGGCATTTGGCGTGACATCTCGGGGATTTAGTCGGGACTTTGTCTTGGATGTCCTGATAATCTATAAAAAATTTAAACAAAAAATATAGTCTCTACTGCAATTATGGTATTGAATAAACAATGTGAGTTGTATAAACAAACAAATAATAATAATAAACCATAGATTCCAATTAATTAATGTGTGTGAGGACAACATATATAAATTAAAAATGTCCAACAATAAATTATAATGTTGGGATAAGTAGTCATGTATATGAGGACAACATAATGTAATGTGTATAGGTCATATTGTCTTCATCTCAAATGGGTAGAGTTATTATAACCATGAAAAATCATTAAAGTTGCATAACTCCTCCATCAATTGATAGCTCATGACATAATTACGATAATAATCATGCTACCAGTACCTAAAAGCATTAACAATAAAGAGTTAAGCCATCATAGCTCTGATACCAAATAAGTGAGGATCGATTAAACAATTAAACAATAATATAAACAATAATATTATAAGACAAGAATAAGAAATTTATACAGACTTATAGAAAACTTTCTTTATTGAATTTTCAAGTTAGTACAGAGAAATATTACAGAAGGAAGAAAAGGAAATTGAAAGATACATTGAAGGGAAACTTTGCCCTCTATTTATACATAAAATGGACTTGAAATTATCATTTTGAAGTCCGCATAGTGCATGGGATCGTGTGCTGGAATAATGCAGTCGGTCGGCCCACCACTAAGTTCTGTCTCCTTATCGGATGGAAGTGGATATCTGATGAAGGAAATACTGTAGAACCAAAGACTTTTGGGAAAAGTTCTTTGGCTTCTTCTGTCGGCAGGATAAGAGGAATCTTTTACTTTTTAGGTGGATTCATCTTGTCCATCAAGTGACTGGTGAGAGAGTCCCAATAGTCGGCTACTGTAGGCTCATCTTCAGAAATAAGATCTTCATTGGGATCTTGTGCATAACCAGCTAGACAGGAAATTTATTATTATTATTATTATTATTTTTTTAACAAAAAAAAAAAAATTTATTTTTTTAGTTCAAGTCATTTGACATTCTGATCATCATGTGATCCATTACCAACACCCATGTGACCAACTTTTAATCTCTTACCCACTCCAACTACTTAAAAAAAACCCATCTTCAATCACTCTTGCACATCTCATTCCACAACAAGAAGAAAAAAAAAATGGTGAGAGACCTAGGGTTTTTGTTAGCTTTCTTGAGTCTCTCCATAGGCTCAACAGCTGCAGATTGGAACATTCTGAATCAAAAGGGTAAAAATGGGCTGAAAATCAGCTTGAAAAATTATTGTGAGAGTTGGAGGATGAATGTGGAGCTGAACAACATCAAAGAATTTGAAGTTGTGCCTGCAGAATGTGTTGGATACATTGGAAAGTACATGACATCCACCCAGTACAAGGTGGACTCCGAGCGGGCGATCGGTGAATGCACTGTTCATCTCAGCACCAGCTGCAGCCTGAAGAAAGATGGCAGAGATGCATGGATTTTTGATGTTGATGACACACTCCTATCCACTGTGCCTTACTACAAAAAACATAATTTTGGGTAATTTGATCTATTTTTTATTAGTTTAGTTATACCAATCATATAGTGAAACTGATATATGATCATGCAATTTTTGATTGTGTGAGAAATGCAATTGTGTGTGTGAAATAGCGGAGAGAAGTTGAACTTGACTTGTTTGGAGGAGTGGATGAGTAAGGCCAAAGCAACAGCTCTTGATCACACACTCAAGCTTTTCAATGAGCTTAAAGGGAGAGGAGTTCAGATCATTTTGGTTTCTTCAAGGAGGGAACATCTTAGATCTGCCACTATTGACAACCTTGTCAATGTTGGTTACTATGGGTGGACTAGTCTCATTTTAAGGTATGCAATCCTCTCTCTCTTGGGGGTCACCATGAAAGGATTAGTTTAGTTTAAACATTAAACCTAAACCAATGAATCAGATTTTGAGACCCTAATATGTGAACCAAACCAACCCTAATCCGTGAACCAAACTGAACCGAACAGAACATGTGCACCAAACCGACCCTAATACATGAGCCAAACCTAATCCGTGAACCAAACCAACCCTAATTCGTGAACTGAACGGATTCCTAATTTATAATTTATGAATCCATGAATCCACCACCGCGATCCGCACGAATAAAATTAATGAACACCCCTTATCTCTCTCTCTCTCTCTCTCTCACACACACACACACACACACTTTGAATTCCTAATTTATGAATCCGCCACTGCGATCCCTCTCTCTCTCTCACACACACACACTCTGAATTCCTAATTTATGAATCCGCCACCGCGTTCCACATGGATCAAATGAACACCCCTACTCTCTCTCTCTCACTCTCTCTATCACACACACACTTATTTGTGACTTTGAGCAACTTTTTATTTTTTTTTACATAGGGGTCCAAATGATGAAAATAATGAAGTCCAAAAGTACAAATCTGAGATAAGGAAACAACTGATTAGCGAGGGTTATCACATTTGGGGCATTGTTGGTGACCAGTGGAGCAGCATTGAAGGACTTCCAACTGCTGAAAGGACTTTCAAGCTACCAAATCCTTTGTACTATGTTTCTTGAAACATCACAAACTTCTACTCAGATTGTCCTACAATGAACATCATATTTTGGCTCCAAATTAATAAGATCATGTTGTATCTACTATTATTGAGTTGGTTAATTTGATTAAAATAAATCACCAAGCAACCTGCAAGCTTTTTCCTGTATTTGAACATGTATGAACTAGACTTTTTGTTATCAAACAACAAGCAGAGCTCAAATAATGTTCGCGCCAAACTCAAATATTCTTAATGAGCTTGATTTGAGCTCAAAAATCAACGTTGAGCTTGAGCTAGAACAGACTAAAGCCTGACTCAGTGATCAAGAACCAGTACTTCCATACTTCATAACACTGATATAATTGCTATAAGTAGATTCTATCTGGTGGAAAATAGGCCAAACCATTACACATTTATTCAAACATATACATATAGATGGGCATTAAGTAGGCTATATTACAACCTCAAGAAACCATACTATGTGCAAAAAGCATCTCCTTAGATATTACACTACTATTGCAACATGAAACAGAAACAGCAAAATACAACTCACATAACAGGTTTGCACATAGTATGCTTCAATACGTCTTAGCCTCAGCACCTATCTGCATCCTGGCGCAGTACTCGAACAAGCTTCCGTCGAAGCAGCGCCTGATGGCTTCTTTAGACAGGAAACCCTCTTCGTCTCTGGCAAGAACATACAGTATTCCCCACTCCATCTTACTCGCGAGCCTGCATAGAAATGCAAAGATTAAATTCGGTAGAAAGAACATTCCAAAATGGCAGCAATGGATTCTACAAAAAATTAACGGTAGGGTCTGGTGAGGAACCATCCAAAGAAGTCGTATGCGACACGGTTGCCTTCGGTCATGTCCCAGATCTCTCCAAATGTGAGCTTGTCAGGCACTGTGCGAGCATACTTGCTGAAACTGTTCTCAAGGTTCACTGGAACAAACCTGCAAATATATTGAATATTAAAAGTGGAAGTTCACTGGAAACTCCATGAGATTTCTATAATGACGCATAAATAACATGCTATACGCTTACCTTCCTTCTGTGTCATAAGTTCCGGAGTCACTCCCGTGCTTGGACTTATGTATGTTGTGTATGTAGATAGGGAAAAAAGGAGAAGGGATCCACCCCTGCACACACAGCATTATAGGAAACCAGCTAAAATCGCATGACCAAGTAAATCAAACCTTTAGAGAATGAGTGAAAAAACACAAACACCATTTGGAGTTGATTAATTTTACCACCGAAAAAGTGTCCCGAACAACCATGTAATTAATTAAGGCAATTACCATCATTCACAACTAATCTGAACACGAATGCTAAATGAATATTTGGTGATGTGTTGTTTCACACCCTGCATATACTCATCTGTCAGATGATGGGATTATGGGATGAGGAACGACGTCTCATGGCCGGCTAAGACTTGAGCTTAATATGTACTTTAATACTACCATATATCTCTGGACTTCTAACAGGACATTATTAAACTCCATGAAGTCGTTAAACAACTTGAAGATAGAAACACTAGGATGACAAAGAAGGTACAATCTCAATAATAAATAAATAAATAAAAATGGTCTAACAAACAAATAATCAAACTAGCTTTTGGATATTAAAAATGGTCGTGTGTGTCGAGTACTAGGAACAAGAGTTAAGACTATATTCTTGGGATAAATTACTCACAGAAAACCTTTTAGATTTGTGTCTTATACAAATCAACTCTAAAGCCCCCATTGTGGCACCAAGGGACCTTTATTTTATTTTAATTTATTTTTCCTTTCCATTCTATTGATGGAAATTACAAGAGAAGAATCCACCAAATATCAAAACCTGAACCCAAACTCTAGAATAAAAAAGACTAAGAGAACCAAAATTCTTTCTAAGTGAATTCAATTGCTTGCCACTCAGTCTTATTCTGACTTGCACCAAATAATACCCAGCACCAAAGGAAATATATGTATATATTAAAAAAAAAAAAAAAAAAAAAAAGGAAGGAAGGAAAAAACTCAACTTCAACCAACAGAGCACCATAAGTTATTCAGTTTAGTTAAAAAAAGAAAAAAGAAAAAAGAAAAAGATCTCTTGTCACAATTTCATAGAAAGTAAATAAATATCTCACCATCAGCTTGATTAAGAGTTCCACATCAAAAAGGTAACCAGAAGTTGACTAAAGATGAAATGAAGTGCTGAAAAGTTCTATACTGAAAAAGAAATATAATAAATTTTCATTTCTCAACAAGAAAGACCCCAAAAATATATTTCAACGTAATCAAAATAAAACAAGAAAGAAGAAGTTAAAAGGCACACAAAAGGAACAGTGGTATACCAAGACATACAGCATAATTGGGAACATATTGAAGCAATTTCAGAACAAGCATTGCCTTATATCATCTTTTGTCATTACATCTAACGCCTGAAGCCCTCAAAGGGGAGATGAAAAATAATAATAATAATTAAAAACAAAAAATGAATTCACAAAAGATAAGTTGCGACATGTTCATGAGAGAAATGACACATGATTTCTAAAAGAACATGTGCCTGTAGAGCAGTGGACTGGTTTCAAATATTACGAAGTGCTATCGGAATTTTCCAGATTGGAAAAAAAAACTTGATTCAAATTACACCTCAAACACAGTAGATATTTATCATTTTTTAGAAACCATTCTCAATTCCTGCAATGTGATTTGTGGTTCTGTCATTTTGTTTTGTTTTCTCCTTAATTTTTTTCTTTTTTAAAATTGACTAAATGCTAGCCCCCTTTGGTGGTACTTTCCAAAATCAATACTTTGTAACACAGCATATCAACTTACCGGAAGAGTAGGATAACTCAAAGCCATATTGATAACACCGGCCATAATAAGAGAGGCAACCGTATTAAAACCAATTTGACGCAGTCCTGTGCACAAAACCCAAAAACGGAAAAAAAAAAAAAATAAAAAATAAAAAATAAAAAATAAAAAAATTCAGCAGCAAACAGGAGTGCATAAGACACTGAGATATAAGCATGAGAATTCATCTTATAGTTTATTTCTACAACATTTAAGCATTATCGCCAGCACTGCAACCTTAAATTTTCAAAACAATAACAGCTCCTAATAAAAAATGTCAAATGATAGCTAAATGCACTCGAATAAGAGTGGGATTATTTAGAAGCAAATGGGAATTTTTTTCTTTTCTTTTTTTTTTTTTTTTTTTTTTTTTTTTTTTTTTTTTTTCTGACATTAAATTGCACTGTGTAATTCTAAAGGAATATGGGATTTGGAATTTTCATATTCAACTATACGTGCACACGGACATTTATTATTGAACTATACAATGATGAAGTGAATGTTGCAAACCAACAGGCAAAGACAAAGCGAGGATGCGTATCCCATAAGAGTTTTTAACATTGATTCACCGTCTTTAAGAAATGCTAGGACACAGAGTCACACTATAGTGAGTGAATTCAAAATGCCAGCGCAAATTTGAACCAAGTTCAATAACAAGGAGTAGATAAATCATTAGTCCTGAACTCATTCGAACCACTGTTTGAAATACCCAAACTGGAAACTACAAAGTAGTTTCACTAGAACATTCTAATTTCATTAAAAATTTGTTCTAGTGTGACAACTCAAGATATATGACCTAGTCCATTTGCATTTCCCTGTATGGAGGAGAGATTCGACATGTCAGGTGCTTGAAAATTACCAGTGTAGGTTTCCCAAGGGTAAATAATCCCATTGGCATCTTGGTCAAAGAATGCTACATGTTGCTGAAGAACACTCATGTTGTGATGTTTATGGCCCGGAGTCCCATTCACATGGTCCGTATCAACAGCAGCCAATGCTCTAGGCATATCTGAATTCATACATATCAAAGGGAGAGAAAGATTAGCGAGTGTAAAGGAGGATATGTTTCAAGCCTCCTTATCATAATTAGCATTGCCACCATTTTGTGCCTAAAATTTATAAAAAAGAAAAAGAAAAAAAGAAGATGAATTAAGAAAGGAAAAAAAAAAAAAAAAAAAAATCACTTCTTCAACCAATCATCCATGATCGAGTTGTTAGAGCTTGATATACATTGTTGGACCATTCCTTAACATCTCAAGATTACAAAGCAATTGGTAGTCCAACATGGTATCAAGACCTTAGTTATGGGAGATCTTGATTCATGTTACCACCTCCACATTTATTCCCTGCAAGTTCAAAATTTTTTTCCATCTGTCTGATTGCCTTTATTTAATACCATGAATAATATACAATTTTATTTGAAATTGTGGAGTTCGCTCAAAATTTGGGGACATCGAGAGGACACTAACAAGGAGTTCAAGTAAAGGCAGTAGAATTTAGAACACAGATAAGCTGGCAAATAAGTTGGTAAATAAGTGACACTATGTAACAACTAAAATCAAGTAAGAACTACCTAGAGTAAGCCTGGGTTCAATAAATAGATTTTACTCCTCAAAAGAATCATGATGTAACTGAGCTCGTACAGAGCTACTTTGGAGTGTGATCAAGTTCTAAACTAGTCTGAACATGTCAATGTTCTTATTAAATAAGAACTATTCTGACTTTGGTTGTTAGAACTTATTTAGTTACCAAATTTTGCTTCAAAGTATTAACTGGATCGTAATCTAATTTAGTTTCTAAATATCCCAAACTGATTTGGTCACAGTGCTTTTCTAAATGCTTCTGGAAACATTTATTTTCGACATGTGTTCTCAATGATTTTGAACATTCAAAATCCACTTTCTGAAAAAGGACTTCCGAGTGCATTTCTCATTGTACATGTTCACAACAGTGAGTTATAGTTGGTACGCACTTATTGTACATACATTAGCTTATAAAGAGTTATGCACCAATATATAGAACTCATGCACCAATGGATCCATCAAATAGATGAGAAAATTGGAGTTTTTTTTATTGTTGTTTGAACTTCAACCGAATTTTTTAAACTTATATGATGTCTTCAATATTCTTAGAAATTGGTGAGAGACACAAGGAAATAGTCCAAGAGATGCACAAAACAACTTATAGCTTCTTAGGAAATTCTGCTATTGCAAGCATTTGCACATATTCTGCGACTCCGGGTGTGAGATAAAAGACTTATTCACTTGGATCATTGTTCCTAATAGAGAGATTGAAAGATAGTAAAGAGCAACAGGAGCATTCATCATAACCATCTGATTGCAGCTATGACTCGAGACTTTCAATCCACTTACTCTTAAGTCTAATCCATATATGTGAATCCACTAGACATTCTGCTAGTGTACCCAAGTGACATCAAAGACTTGAATTGGGTTATCACGTAAATTTCAATGCTGGCATTCAGGATCTCTCTAATTTTTCTCAACTTGGGTCCCTCGTTTTTCCTCGATTTGGGAATATCACCTAAAAGAATCTTTAATCGATTGTGTGATTTCATGTTCAACTTCAAGAGAGATTAAAATCAATGACATACAGAAGGAGGACACTAATTCACCTCCTCTAGGTCTATTCTGTTCTCTTGGTCCACTGACATTCCAATAACATATAACTTCCAATGATTGTGTTACCATTGTTTAGTAGTGGTAAAGTCAACCATCTTTTACAATATATTATAGATAAGCTACATTTCCTATTGCTTGTTACTGGAGAAACAAATTAAGACGGTAAACCCACAAAGCAAGAATGCCTTCATCAGTCATGCTATTGCTATTGCTGGTGTTTCCTGTTCACTTCAGTAATTGTGCATCCCCGTAACCTATCCAATAAGTTCGAGATTGACTAGGCTAGACATGGTCACTTCTATATGCTAGACATGGTACCTTCGTACTTCGTAGACACGAAATATGTGTAAGGACTAAGGAGCAATCTTATGACACTACGAGAAATATTTTGGTCACCAAATTTTGAATGCATTCAGAGTACCGAAAGAGATAGGGCTAATGGCACACCAGTGTGGTCAGGCCCATCAGCCCTCTCTCTTGTTTGGCATCCAGAGTTCAGAGAGCCTTGGCTCTAACAATATTGATGAAGTACTTAAGGAACAATTCTATTACAAAATTGATGAACTGATAGACAATTCTTTAATGACCTACTTAACTAAAAGAGGACTTAAAATTGTAAATTTCAAGAGAATTTCGGACTAGTTCACATGGTCATTTTGTCTTACAAGTGGAAGTCCACATGAAGAAGGCCGGAAAGCTCAAATATTCCAAACACGGCCCTCCAATTTGAATTAGCAAAAGCAATGTCTCCTTGCATAATATGGATTCCAAACATTCATAATCTAAATGTGAATTGAGTCGAATTACTAATCCCTCAATGTATTAGTGAACCATCTTTCCGGGGTTTGTGAAAGATATTTCACTAAAAATATTCTTGTTATTGCTTCGACTCATATTTCCCAAAAATGGATCCCACTCTATTTTTCTCTCATTTTATGCAGTTAAATGATCTACAAAAATACCTTTACTTTGTAAATAATCCTCTTACATTCAACTTTCAAAAATTCTATTCTGAATTAAAAATTTTAACTTCATAATTTTTAATTTTTTAATATACTTTATACTACTCGCCCCGCAAGTATGTGGGCCTTAAATAGATGCAAGAGATGTCAGCACATATATACCCCACATTCATAATACATCTTGACTGTCCCCTACCAACATCCCTACAATCATATATAACACAGTGCTTCCAATTCATGTCAACAATGATTTGATTTATTTGAACTCTTTTGGAGGCATTCACAATGTAATTAGAAGAAAGTTACTGTCAAAGCATCTTTTGATGTCTTTTAGGATACTTCAATTGCATGCCTTGAGTAATATTAAAATTCGAAAACATCAAATTATATTAACTCACTCTGTTTCAAATTAATCTTGAACCTTTCAACCTATGCACAATCAAACATCATGAATTGTTGAAAAACCGTTTCTGAATCCTTAAAAGCTTTGAGACTAGAGAAGGGTTGTATGTGAATCTAAAACTTACTCATAAAAATTTACAGCAAACACAATAAATAATTTTAAAAAAATAAAAATAAAAAAATCATAATAACCTTTGTTATTTCTATAGCAGATGTAACTTTTATTAAAGATTCGGAAATTAAGGCAAGTTAGTGGACTATATATATCAAGGTACAATTGAAACTCATAGATTTGACATCTAGAATCATCAAGAAAAAAAAGAGTTAATTAATATATTAAATAGAAAAACTCACATGGTTTTGGAAGTGACGTTTCTAAGTCGGTCCGGACCCTCCTCTCGCTAGTGACCGGTGCAAGAGGAGCCTCCGTCGCCATTGCATTCCTCTCACCAACTGCAGCCATCTCTGCGTGTGTGTGTGTGTTTGTCTGTGTGTGTGTGTGTGTATATATAGTTCAGCGTCTTTGAGCAATATGGAGTAGGAAGCACGCGAAAGGGCCACCAAAACAACTCCGTGGCGAGCATGCAAAAGGTCTGAGGTTGCGAGGCAGTACTACTTGCATGACTCCTACGCTCTCTCCTCTTAAGACAGTTGGCTGTGGCAGACAGCTAGAACCCACTTTTTTTGTGCAAATCTAGACATAGGTGCTAGTTTTGGAGTGTCATCTTTTGTTGACATTTGAGATTGATTAACAAAGACCGCGTTTACTAACGAAAAACGGTTCTTATTTTTTGTTGTCAACGTCAAAAAAGGTTAATCGAAAATAAAAATCGTGTTTAATAAAATATTTTTACTTTTCTATAACAGAAAATATTTTCAATTTTTGTGAAGAAAAAAGAAAACATCAAAATGATGTTTCTTATATTTTTGGCACTATAGCAAAGAAACATTTTCAATAATGTTAATGCACAGACACTATTCATTTCAAATAAAATTCATATTATTTGTGTTATATACTAAGTTGCATACTAAATATTAATAAAAATATATATTTTTAATATATAATAAATTAAATATTGTATATTATTTTTTATTTGATAAAAATATATTTTAATATATAATATATTAAATAATAATGTAAATGATTTTTTGTGACAAAATAATTTTTGATATAGAATATACTGTTATTAAATTAATGAGCAGTGAATATTTTATACTATTATATATCATATTTGTATTATATTATATGTAAATATTAAATTATAATTAATTTACAATATTATAACACAACAGGCATGCTCTCATGGATTTTTTAGCGGACCAATGGTCAAATAGTCAATTACCCATAATATTTTATTAAACCTAACCATAGTTAATATTTGTTACCTTAATAGTCAATTTACCATATTTAGTTAATACCTTTATTCAATCTATCTCTTCCTCAATCTCTTCCATTTTCCTTGCAATCTCCAACAGTTAATTTATTATTAAATTTGTAATCATTACTTATGAAAAAATCTCCCTAATAAAAGAGCAAAAAAAATAAAAAAGCTTATTCACGAACCCTAAAAAATTGGTATCCATTGAACCCATGAAAAAAGCTTATTCAGTAATTATTTCATACTTCGTTCTCAATTTGTTCTTTTAACCCAGCAATGCGATCTTAGTTATTTTCGATTATAAATTGAGCATCATTCGGAAACTAATTTAAGAATTGTCCCACATGTATCTAGAGTACAGGGAACCAATTGGCATATTGGAAGCATATGATAGATTAATGGCATGAGAAGGAGTTTCCAATTTACATTGCAAATTGATAAATAAGGTTTAGTTTGATATACCTGTGCAAGTAGTATCATGAATTGCTAGACATGTAGTATTAAAGTTCTTGTTAATGATGATCTAAATTGGAGAAACTGTGAAGTGGTAAATGGGGGGTGTGTGTGTTATGTGCACTTGACATGGCCTCGCCAAAATGTTTCTGCATGATTATTTTCAACCACCGAACAAAGTAAAAAAGAAGTTGAGTAATAGAAATAGTTTTTGAGATATTTTAAAATTTTGAATGTGAATTTTCTGATACCATAAACTTTTTTCAAAATTGGGATGATGAAATTGGATATTTAATTGTATTTGTGCATAAAATTTAAAAGAAATTGTAATGCATGAAAACTATGGTAAATTAATTATTAAGGTAATAAATATTAACTATGGTTAGGTCTAATAAAGTAATAATGTGCAATTGATTATTTGACTATTGAAAAAATTCTTTCTTTTGGACAGCATGAGAGCCTTCCTGCACAACACAATATATATTTTATTACATATAAAATATATTATTTAATATTTTTTATTCATAATAAATTATCATATGCTAAATATATTATATATCACATAATAAATGTATACATTATGCATATACATGTATTTATATGCATAATTGGTGGGAATATTTTTGTATTGGTATATCTAATTTTGTACTTATAATGTATTGGGTATTTTTAAGATTTATAATTTTAAATTAAATTTTCTAGATTTATGTTTTTGTTATATTAATGGAAGCAAGTGTTGTGTCTGAGTGGTTAGGTTGCTCCCTGTGTCCAAGAGCTCGTGTTCAAGTCATCTACCCTACCCTCTAATCACTAACTTCTAAAATTCTTGCCATGAAAAAAATAAAATAGAAATGAAAAAAATTAAAAATAAAATAAATTTTTTTTTTTGATAAATAAAATTTAAAATAAAAAATTTAAAGAATATTATGTACATTTTGTAACAAATATGTTGTATTACTAAACACAATTATTGTTTTATGTTTTCAAATTTGTGGCAACAACAAGTGTTAATAAACATCATTTCTGTTTTCTATTTTCACTCAAGAAAACAAAATCATGTTTCTGCTTTCTTAAGACTGCAAAAACAGAAAACAAAAACGTTACTAAACGCACCCAAAACTAGTAAAATTAAAAATCTTAGCATACTTTAGTAACGAGAAACGTTTCTTATTTTTTGTTATCAATTTTTAAAAAGGTAAAACGAAAATAAAAATCGCGTTTAATAAAATGTTTTAGCTTTTTTATAACAGAAAACATTTTCAATTTTTGTAAAGAAAAGAGAAAACATTAAAATGATATTTCTTATGTTTTCGGCACTGTAACAAAGAAACGTTTTCACTAATGTTAGTGTACAGGCACTATTCATTTCAAATTAAATTTATATTATTTGTGTTATATACTAAGTTATGTTAATAAATATATATATTCTTAATATATTATAAATTAAATATTGTATATTATTTTTTATTTGATAAAAATATATTTTAATATATAATATATTAAATAATAATGTAAATGATTTTTTGTGACAAAATAATTTTTGATATAGAATATAATATTATTAAATTATTAAGCAGTAGATAATTTTATATTATTATATATCATATTTATATCTATATTATATGTAAATATTAAATTATAATTAATTTACAATATTATAACACAATATATATTTTATTACATATAAGATATATTATTTAATATTTTTTATTCATAATAAATTATTATATGCTAAATATATTATATATCACATCATAAATGTATACATCATGTATATACATGTATTTATATACATAATTGGTGGGAATGTTTTTGTCTTGATATATCTAATTTTGTACTTATGATTTATTGGTATTTTAAAGATTTGTAATTTGAAATTAGATTTTTTAGATTTATGGCTTTTTGATATTAATTGAAGTAAGTGTCGTGCCTGAGTGGTTGGGTTGCTCCCTGTGTCCGAGAGTTCATGTTCAAGTCATCTACCCTCCCCTCTAATCACTAACTCCGAAAATTCTTGCCATGAAGAAAATAAAATAGAAATAAAAAAAAATTAAAATTAAAATTAAAGAATATTATGTACATTTTGTAACAAATATGTTGTATTACTAAATACAATTATTGTTTTATGTTTTTAAATTTGTGGCAACAATAAGTGTTAATAAACATCATTTTTGTTTTCTATTTTCACTTAAGAAAACAAAATCATGTTTCTACTTTCTTAAGATTGCAAAAACAGAAAACGAAAACATTACTAAACGCACATACTTAATGAACAACATATACAAATAGTTGGTTATATCATATTCTAGTAGTTTGTTTCTTGGTAATTTGTGTTTGTGGTGGTAATCACGCCGTGTCGATATAAATGTGCGTAAATTTAAATTTAATCTATTTAATAATTGAGTAAGTGTAAAAAAACACCCTATACATTTCTTAACACTTTTATCCTTATTTTAAAAAGTATACAAAAAACACCCTTATTCTTTTCAATTTGTGCAAAAACACCCATCAATTAATATAATGCCTATTTTACCCTTTTAGTCTTCAAAAAATACCCCTACCGAGCCTTACTCTCCACCCCCAAAACCGCAACCCCATCTCTTGCATCACCATCTCATCTGCCACCACATTTTAAGCAAACCCATATTCAACACCCCTGCCACACACAATCCTCCAACCTCCACCCCCCTCTCTCTCCACTGACCACCGCAACCTCCACCCCACAACCACCACCCACCATTAGATACACAACCTACCAAAATAAGTACACAACTCAAACCTCCCATTATCATCTTCAAGGTTGAATAGATAGTACATGGTGGTGGTGATGAGTAGTGGTTGTCGTGGTTGGGAGAGTTGGTAAGAGGTGGAACAATTCGACGACGTTAATGGTGCAAGAGACCAAGAATCGATGCCGTTTTGGGATCTGTTGATAGCTTTGATGTGGGAGAGGTCGAGGAAGGTTGAGTCGTCATTATCGTCCTCAGCGGTGGCAGCTCGTTTGTGCTTAGATATGTGGTTGCGGTGGTGGCGATTTCAATTATTTGTTTTCGTTTTTACGGAGAAGTTACAAAACCCCAATTTCTGTGCAATTTTGGGTGGGTGTGGTTATGTGTGCGCGTCTGTGTATTGGTAAGGGCATGGGTCTGCGATCTAAGGAAGAAAACAACAAAGACACCAAAATCTCGTCGGTGTTATCTTCATTTGTGTGTCATATATATATTTTTTGGATTATGATTTAATGCTATATCTGATTGTTAGTCTTCGTCAGCGGTCGGCGACTGGAGGAGGCGGTGGTGGAGGAGGAGGCGGAGGTTTAGATATTTCCGGTAACTTTCCGGTGACCATAAAAATCTATAGAGGTCTTCGATTATGAAGAAAAACCTAAGAAGCTAAAACACTTGCCCATTAATTGAAGATTAGGCAATTAAGAAATTTGGTCAATATTAAAATTAAGAAATTAATTGAAGTTTGAGCAATTCCCTATTAATTTTAGGAATTGATTCTCTCGGACCTTGTGGAATTTGACTGTGATTGTGAGGATTATGATTATTCGTGGAATGTGGAGAGAGCTCCACGACGGCGAGAACAACGCTAAACCGACAACTAAGGATTGTGTTTGGACTTTGCTCGGTAGGGATGTGCTCCGGTGATGATGAGATCGACGTGAAATGGTTTTTTTTTCAACCCGCGACCATGGAGTCTTGAGCCCACCCTCTCTGCGGCGGCAACTTGCCAACCACCAAGATGAAGAAGAAGAAGG